CCCGGCACCCTAAACCGCAAACTCCTAAATCCTAAACACTAAATCCTAAACTGCTAAACTTAAGCCCTATACTCCTAAACCCTAAACGCTAAATCCTAAACCCTACACTCCTAAACCCTAGACTCCTATAGACTTTAACTCCTATCACCCCAAACCGGAAATTGTTGAGACCTTCGATTCTGTCTTCGTGAAGCCGAGCATAAGCCACACATTGTCTTTGACTTGTTGCAGTCCAGGGCTTAGGGTTTAGGGTTTAGGTAAACCTAAACCGTGGGTTTAGGGTTTAGGGTCTTCGTACTGTTATTCATGGCAAAGTAGCTGCACGGCAACGGGTGCCCAGAGAGCGAAACACAAGCTTAAACTCTATACCCCCGTCAAGCTACAAGCCTCATGACATAGTCAGGAGCCCTTGTAAGATTTAGCTTCAGGCAGGATCCAAAACTGCTTGGCAAAGACCCAAACTCCAAGAGACGTGAAGGACCCGATAAAGAAATGTTCTTTGTTCCTTATTCCTGAGCAGCCCACAAAAAGAATATTCCTGGCTATCACAAGATCAAAGTCATACTACCAGGATACCTCATCATTACCCTAAATCTGAAATCCTTATACAATCAATGCTTGTGGATCAGGGGGCAACTAACGTTATATCTCTTTAAACCCCAAGTAAGGTTATTATAATCCCACTTACCAAGTCCCATGATCTTCCAAGCAACCAAGATTTGCCCAAGGCCCGAAACATCCTCTCGTCGGTTCAATCAACAAGCCGGTACTCTGAATCTAGGGCTTTCAGAAATTGGGTCCTGGCATCTTAGGGTTTGGAATTTATAGTACAGGGTTTGAGGAGTTTAGACTCGACGTTTGAGACTTGACTTTTGGTTTTCAGGGCTGAGGGTTCGCATAAGCCCTAAACCCTAAACCCTAAACCCTAAGCATAAGGGCTTTGCGGTTGGTCGAAGGTTGTCGACCGCAGGGCTTGGCATTTCAGAAACCTGAAGATTGAAGCCCCAAATCTACTTGGGAGTTTCCGAAAATTAGGGTACCTCATTTTGGGGTCCTTATAATAAGGATCCTACTATTTAGGGTATTATATGAGGGTCCTCTATTTTCGGAAACCCCCACTTGAGAAAGGGGTTTAAGTCGGCAAGGGCTGTGGGTTTAGGCTTAGGGTACAGTCAGCACGCAAGCTACCAAAGTTGCAGAAGCTTCTGTAGCAGGGCCCCTCACCCCCGACTGTCCTGAAATGCTCATCCAGCCCAATACGCAGGGCACTGCGAACAGCAAGTGTACCAGCGTGGGTGAGGAGAGGAGGCTCCTGCCAAAGCCAACCCAGCGGGTTTGTTTAGGGTTTAGAGGTTTAGGCTTTTATTTGGGGTGCGATTTAGGGTGTTAACGTTTAAAATTTGGGGGTTTAGGGTCTATAGGGGTTGTAAGTTTAGGGCGCGGTTTACGGCTTTAGGGTTTAATCAGGGGCTCGAAGGTTTCAGGGTTAAGCGGTTTAGGGGTTACCCACAGGCCCTAAACTAGTTCCCTTTTGGGGGTTCATATACGGAATCCTACAAGGGAACCCCAAAAAGGAATTACTATGGGGCCGATGGGTAGGGTTAACTCCTGCAGCTGCGCAGAAGCCCAAAGCGCTGCTACTTAGAGGATCATGGGACTTAGTCAGTACCTTAACCTACCGAAACCTTTTTTTTTGTAGGGTCCCTATAAGTTCCATATTAAGGTTTATAATAAGAATCTACAAAAAACTGGGTTTAGGTAGGTCAAGGTATGGTTCGAAGTACCTTAATTCAGGTAATAAGGAGATATAACTATGGATAGTTGTGCTTATAACCCTACTTACTACATTAAGTCCCCTGATCATCCAAGCAACTCACAGCATAGTATCTGCAAAAAAGTCTAAAGGCTCCATTAAGAGCCGAAAGCTTATGGTTGAGGGAGGCTGGCTTGCGGCTGAGACTTGGAGATTTAGCAGGGCCCCAGAAAAGCACATAAGCAAAAATTAGGGTAGGGATATCCCATAAAAAAACGCCCTTATAATGAAGCCCAATAAGGTAGGGATATCCCTATAAAATGCTTATGCTTATGTCCTTTTTGGGTTCCTAATTTAGAGCACGTGCGAACCCTCAACCACCGAAGTCCTCCGCACTTCTTCCCCTGTATGCTACTGGACTCAAAAGTCTAGCCAGACCACGGCCTAAACCCTAAACCCCACAAGCTCTCTTGCTCATACGGATTCGTTTCTCCAGCTTCTTTGTTTTCATATTCACCTTCATTCCTGAAGCTTTTTCCGGGGTAGCTCTTGTGGCGAATCAGGGCTATATCGGGAGTTCCTTTGAGGTACTTCCCAACATGCCTCAGCATCTCCAAATCGCTATTCGTTGGGCTTGCTAGCTATGTGCTCAGTTTCTTCAGCGCATACATGATATCTGGCCGTTCAGGCGCCAGGTACAGCAAGATCCCAACTCCCTTGCGATACACGTGATGCAATTCTGGAGTGAGCGGTTGCATTCCAGCTTTCTGCGCTTGAAGAGCTGTCTGACGCGTGTGTCACTGCCGAAATGAGGAGGCGTGGCATACCCCCCCATCCAAGAGAGGTCCGGCACCTCAGTGAGCGGGAACTCCTTGTGAAGGGCCCATGGACTGCAGAAGATCGCCTCCCCCCGCAGAAAGCGGCGACTATAGGGGCCTTACTAATTAATTACCTATACTATTTTGGGGGGTGCCTTATAAGCATTATATAGTATAATCTACCCCAAAACCCTACTCTACACGTTAAGGCCCCCCATAAACACTAAACCCTAATCCCTAACCCTAAACCCGAACCCTAAACCCTAAACACTAAACCCTAAATCAGATTGGAGCTTAAGCCTTGTAGGACTCCAGGGTTCGCGGCTACGAGCCTTTTTTCGGGTGAGAGCTGAGGTGCCGGTGTTTTGGGAGGCCGTTGGTCTTAATTCCAAACAAGGCATAGTTAGGAGTAATAGCCCCTCCTTGCTTAGGCTATAGTTAGTATATCCCAAACTTATTCAAATTTGACCCTCTTCGAAACATGGAGACACCCATGCAACTGATTAGGGGTACATTTAAGTGCCAAGTTTGCAAGCGCACGTCTCACAACCCTATTGCAAAAATGATCAACGCCCGCTGAGGTGCCTGGAAGCTAAGCACAAGCCGGTCGTGAATGGCAAGGCGGCCACGCACCTAAGGGGAGCAACCGAGCCTTTGGCTAAATGTTCACAGTCTTCTAAGTATCTTAACTTGGCTGACTTCTGAACTCCTCCTAATAGTTAAACTTTTAGCCTACTTGTTATAAGTTCTGATAGATTTTTTGAAGTCCTAAGAGCCGACCAGAAGAACGCCAAGCTAATATGGGGGATAATTACCCAAACCATAACGGTATTCGTCTTCTATAGAAGCCCGACTTTCTACTCTGTCGGCACGTAGGAGCCGTTTCTAGGTGGAGTGTAGCAAGAAACGACCCTAAACCCTAAACCCGCTAAGAATCCTCAAGTGCCGAGAACTCCGAAAGGTTTCAAGGGTGAGGATCTCAGGTCCTTTGGGCTGAAGCTCTTTTGGCTTTCAGGATGTAGGGGTTTAGGGTTTACCCTAAGCGTCCATGTACCCAAATAGTATATACTTTGGCCCCAAAGTACCTATATAGGGACTACTTTAAGGCCAAAGTATATACTATTTGGGTACATGGACCCTTAAGGAGCAGAATAGAGGTCTGCTGGTCAAACCTTGTGGTGGGCTGTCTACTGCAGGTTCTTGCTGTACTGTACCCCAGCGGCCAGCCTTCGTAAATAATATAGGGACCTTCATAACTAAAATAGGGCTTTGGGTGCCATTATGCTATGATTATAATAAGGAACCCCCCAAAATCGTATATGTAGTTATTAAGGCCCCTACAGTAAGCAAACCCAGATCGCGCGGTGAGGGTTCATCCTTTTTGTTGTCGGGTAAAGACAAGCAAAACGTAATATAAATATAAATATAAATATAAATATAAATATAAATATAAATATAAATATATATATATAGGGGCCTTCACAATTAGAATAGGGTTTTGGGTCCCCATATACTATAGCTATTAAAAGGAACCCCCTAAATAGTATAGATAATTATCAAGGCCCCTATATTACATTACATCGTCAACCAGAAACATTCAAGGCCAAGGAACGCCAAATCCCCCCAGCCCTAGACCCTGAATGAAGCTCCACCCGAATGCCTTATCTGTCTGGTGCTTAGTAGGGAATGGGCGAATGGGTTATAGGCATAGGGACTACTATAAGCCCCATTCCCTACTAAGCACCAGACAGAATGACACTCACACTCGGATTCACTCATACCAGCGCTACCATGTTTGACGTTGGTCCACACTCCACACCCTTTCCGCTACTTGGGCTATGTCCTCGAGTTGGTTCAGGGGCTGCTCATGCAAGCAACACGCAACCTCTGCGCTCCTGCACCCAGGTTCTAGAAAGAACCACTGTAAACCATGGACCCCTAAACCCTAAACCCTTGAAACCCCAAACCCTTTAAACCCTAAACCCTAAACCCTACTAAACCCTAAAAACCCCAAACTCTGAAGGGTCTGGAAGCCCTATAGTCCCTAAAGCTTATCTTTAGTCCTATGCGCGACACAAACCCTACTGGTACGACCTGAACCCCAAAAAACCTTAACTTGAACCGCAACCCCATAGCCCCCAAACCCAAACAATGTAAACTCCAGGCCCTAAATCCTAAGCACAAGCACTACAACCCTAGAAACCCGAGACCCTGTAAGCCGTAGAAAACCCCACAAAACTCCCTAAACATAACCCTTAAACAGCATATGGGTAGTTCTCTAAATTACGGTCCCTTTTAGGGTCCTTTTTATGAGGGTGCCGTACTGTATTGGGGGCCTAAATAAGGGACCCTAAATTGGAAAACTACCCATATTACAAACCCTGGACCATCAATCCAAAACTGCGTCCATGTCCCTGCAGCCGCGGTACGTACCGCCAATCCGTATCCAGAGCTGCATGCAAATGTCATCCTCGGTGTACTTCCTGGCATTCCCTAAGGCTCAAAACCCTAAACCCTAAACCCTAAACCCTAGTCTTTGGGCCCAAAAGCCTTCGAATATGAGTCCTCAGAGCCTTAGGGTTAGGGTTTACCCTAAACCCTAAACCCTAAACCCTAAACCCTAAGAGTCCCTAGAGCCTTAGGGATTAAGTGGAACCCGAAGTTCGGGATTCCAGGGCTCACTTTCTGCGTATCGTGGGGCTCCGGAACCCAGACCCCCAAAAGG